ACGCTGGCGATCGTGCGGACAAGGGGCCGATATTTCACTGCTCGAGAGGCTCGAGTTACACCTGACGACGACAACGACGACGAAGTCACTCTCTAATTCATGCGCGAATTCATGGACGAGCGCGACGCTTAAAGGAGCCGCCGCGCGCGGCCTATGCAGATTTCGATGTTCGCCAGGAAGCTTATGCAAAGTAGCCGGTGCAACGTAGCACGTGCTGCGTCTCGGAAAACATTACGCACGCGGAGACTATCGAGTTACTTGCCTCGCGGCGCGATTTTTCATTTGATCTGTTTGCGCGATCGTGCACTTGATACGATCAGCGCGATTGTCAACTAAAACACATAAAGGTCTACGTATAAGGGAAGAAATAACGGTTTAATAATGATTCTTAAACCTCAGTTACACGTCGTTAACGTATATCAATAGTCAGTTAATACTTCCGTATTGTGAAACAACAGTTGCCATAATGGACCGTAAATAGAGTTTGCGTACGAAGTGCGCAGATATTTCTAGAGTTGCTGTCATCGCGTCGATCATTCGGGAAACTAAAGTCGCGCGCTGAAGACAACGTCTCGTGTACTCTCGTACAATCGGTTTTATTGAACGGCTCGCTCGTACGTTCGAATAGGCGTTCTCCGTTTTACGGCCGAGGCCTTGAAAATCGTCAACTCGTCGAATTCCTGCCGTTAAAAAATATTTGCGTGACGATAAACAGACTGAGAGACCGCAGGTGCATAACGAGACGGTCGCAGCTGCGAGACTATTTTCGACGCTGGTAATCTCGCGTGGTCGATTGTAAAAGCTCTATAGTTTTACCTTATTAGATTTTACCATATTAATTTACATTTCTGATGAACGATGCATTAAAGTTTAATCATCGTAAATGTTATATCAGACTTATATTTCGTTCTATGTATTTTCGATTAATGACATTCTCTTGTCAAGGAAATATCTCTCGAAGAAAAAAAAAACGAAGTAGTTCCTGAGAAGAAGCTTAAAATAGGTCGCATCAGGAGATGTTTTTATAGAGAGAACTAATTAGCATACGTGTGTATTTCCGTTCACGAAAAAGACCGCTAGATAAAAGGCTGTATGACACCAGAATGACATTAAGAGCCAATGGGTCCTGGGACTTTCTCTTCGACAGTCAGGTTGCCCGTGTTCGTGTAACCTGACTCGGGCGACAGGCCATCTCGAACGCCCACTGATCGGCACCTATTTCGCATAATTCGTTCGACCCCGTGCCCACATACGTACGCCGATACTCCCGAATCCCGCTCGCGAGAATCCCCGACGACGACGCGAGCCCCCGGCGGCTGCAGCGTATCCTGCGGGACCGGTTCGCCCTTGCATTCCCGTTCACGTGCATGCGTCACATATCGGTGGCCGTAGTGCCTCACGAATGCAAAAAAAGTGGAGTGTGGGCGAGAGCTTGAGACCTCGTCAGATTCAACCCACGTTATTCGTCGTTGAAGTAGCGCGAGCCTCTGTCCGCCGTGCGTCAAAGTCGCGTATAAACGCCGAGTTTCACTCTCTGAATTTTGTGATAATGACATTGCAATAATGATGATGCATAATGTTAAGCATTATGTTCTGAGAGAAAGAGAATGTCACTGGGAATGTAAATAAATTATTTAAATTAGTGGCTGATCACAAGTAAAAAAATTCTAAAATTGTAATTCAACTTGATGATAATTACATAGGAAGTGATAATCGCATTATACGACCAAGCGTGCGAATGAATAGATAAAATCGGGAGTTATCTCGTAATCGACGTTTTAAGCAACTGTATTTATACGTGTTTAATCTACAGTGTTTAAAAAAAATTGTCCATGCCAGATGCTGCGATGTTTTCAATATCCTTTCCCTAGGAATTACTCTTTTTGTTCTTGCATAATGTGTAGAGAAACGAGTTTTGTAGTCATCTCACTTCTTCGCGCACGGTCATTATTTACCGCCTCTAATTATTACTTCAGCCTCACTTGACCGCAAACTCATCCAATTTAACGTTTGTATTATTATCATCTCGGTTAAGTCGCGCGAAGAAGAAGCCGCTACGATTATTTCGTTTATTAATTACGATGACACGCGTATTACGATAATTACGGCAAGAGCGGCCTATCTTCGCCTCTCACGTGAATCTGTCAATCTTAAAAATTATACAGCCGTTTATAAATTCTGTTAGCTGCTCGCCGTTATCGATATATTGTGGTATGCGCGACTTCGACGGCACGTCAAGCATACGCTTATGAATCGCTTACATAAGCGGCATAATCGGCTCCTCTCTTTCCACGCGCGAGTATGAGTGTGGCGCTTACCTACGCACGCTGTATGCGCCAATCATGCAACCCAGAAGTCGATGTGTGCCAAGGTTGCTCCATAGGCAATGGTAACTGCCATGTGATTTCGAGATGAAAACCCACGATACGGAATCTGTCTCGCGTCGTCGAGATTTCCGCCGGATAATAAATAACCGTCTGAATAATTGCGTATGCAACACCCGAGTAACTTGGATGATCCTATTATGCGAACGTTAAGTTGTGATATTGCTTTAAAACGTCGTTTAAATTATGATTGATCGTCGAAGCCTGTTCAAGTGCGGCCGTAGGTCGAATCCTAATAATACTAATTGCGCGCGATATGGGATGGCGTAATCATCCCCCGGCGCAGATTAGAATGATTAGATGAGGAACAATGGCCGAAGTTATCGGTTATCGTTTATTGAGCGCGTCTCGATGTTAATAGACTTTAAATTAGCAGCGTTATATCTGAAACTGGGTCAGTGGATCAGAGTTAAATCGTGCGGGCAGATTATTATCCGTTCGACTCTTTTTAAAGACGATTGCTTCGTCATCGTTCTACGTGATTTGAAAAATATATTACATCGCATGTTCTAACGGCGCAATCGCTCTTGCACTAAGTTTTATTAATTATTCATGTGTTTATATATATATATATATGTATTCAATTATTCATACATTTTAATGTTAATACAATGCAAAGTTACGATATCTCAGAAAGTTAACACGAAGTATGTCAATGCGATCTCGCCGCGTATCGCGTGTAGGTGTATCGACGATATAATTTCCGCCGGGTGGAAGGAAAGCTTTCTGCACCCTTTTCCCTGTCGAACTAATAATTCCGGAATCGTCTAACGATGCTAGACGATAAAAGCCACCAATCGCTCGCCATTTGTCACGGGATAAACAGCAATATCCGAAAAGTGCTTTTCGCACTCGAGCTATTTGTTGGCCGGAGATGACGCGTGGCTTTAACTTATCGAAAACTAATCTCCGATGAGTTTCTCGTTCATTTCATTGGAAGCGATTTTCCTTTCTAAATTCTTTTCTTTGAAACGCGTTTTGTACTCACAATTAGTTTTTAGACAAACAGCAAAATTCACGAAAACAGAAACATCGGGCGATTAAGGAACGAATTAGTCAATGTAAAACCATAGAAAGACATACACGCTACACATCGTACGTGAATACGTTGGGTATTCTCCAACGCAAGTGAAATTAATTATCTAACCGATAGGTCAGGGTAATACCGATGCTCCCTTAGGGTTCCGTGGCCGACACGCCCTACGGAGATAATTACACGATCGATTGTCTTGCGCCATCCTATTTTCATATGGGTGTGCGCCGGTAATGCCCGCGGTCACATCGCGCTTTTTTATTTCCGTCTGTCCGGGCCGCGTTACGCCCGGGCCGGGGTCGGCCCTCGAGCCGGCACGCGGACAATAAATTATCATACGGATAATAAATTAGACTTCGGTATACCTGGTTCCAATTATTCTAACACCGGGGATGCCGCCGAATCTGTGGGAGAGGCGCTCGCGTAAAAAAAGGCGTCTTCCGTTCAATAACGGTAATGGCCAATTTGGCACGCGAAGCGGCGATCGTTAACGTAATTGAAGGTGTCGGGGGAGGAGAGGAGGCTTCGCGGTTATTTTGCCGCAGTTTTTTTTTTCGCATCGGCCCGCATTTAATCGCGCTATATTTGACGCTCAGGGCGTCGCCGTCAAGATTAATTATGCGCAGTAAAAGTTGCGTTAATAAAGTCATTTTCGCGAAGAAGATCTCTCCGTATAATTATACGTGACGCGTCACTTTTCTCCGGAAACGACTTAGAGTTATATTTGCCTGCGGTTTTATAGCCAACATTCACGATTAATTTCTTATCGATATTTTATCGCCGCTTGAAAATACATTACGATTTGTTTGAAACCACGCCGGTCATTCCAATCAATTAGATAACGTATCTTGCGAAAAGGTTACACGACAAAAGAAATTAATTCTCATTCTTGCGAGCGAATAATATAGTTGATACGGGTAATGAAAAGATAATGAAAAAAGGACAGATAAGGAGGAAGGCTTATAAAAGGATCGATGTAACGAGCGAAGCCTCTGAAGGAAGCCTATCAGCGATATGAGATTGCGGGGTCAGGAATAAGAGTCAGATTGTAGAGTGCTTTCTCTGTGAGGGAGAAGAAAGAAAATTATACGAGAGAAAAGCAAATGGTACGATCGTGCGCGTACTTGTTTCAAACGACTCGTCTCGAGTACAGTATTGCCTAGTTCAGAACACGCGTAATTGGCAGTTCTTGACGTCTCAATAGACCCTGGCAGCTGTACCTGAGATTTTGACAGCGAAAGCTGCTCATCGAACGCGATTCATCGTCCGTCCATTAGTCGGGCCTAGCTGCCAGATCTTACGCCACTGATCGAAATAGCCCGCGACCACTGACCTCAAATCTCAGACGCACTGCACGTGCATCCGTTATCGAGCGCCGTTTAAATCGATACTAAGTGATAATATCGACGCAATAAATTGTGAACACGTGTCTCGCGATGTTCTTACGAGACAATTCGCAATTGCGGATTGCGATGTCGAAACAAACAGGCCTGTACGATCGGAGCGTAAATCGGAGCTGTATCGCAACGCTTTCGTTTTGGTATTCGATTTCGCTGATAACGTCTTACTTGTTTTTCTTTCAGGGTGATCGTGGGCGCACCAGAGGCTGAAACTGCACAGACTGGCGTCTACCGAGGAGGCGCAGTCTATAAATGCGATATCGCGGTTGATGATAGATGCAGCATCATCCATTTCGACGATCAAGGTAACGAGATCATCGACGTTGGCTATCTTAATTTTGACAGATGACGCGCTAATGGCGCTTCAGCTGATTTTGGCTCCTAAAGGCCTAATTCTCGGCGTGTTGATTTAACTTCGAAACCTCTTGTCGAACAATTAAAAATTTAATTACGCGCACACCGTGCAACTTTTGCGCATTGTAAAAACGTCGAATAAATTCTATAAAGAGATGTCTAATAATATTATAATATTTATAATGAAATTTTTTTACAATAGAAGAAAATAGGATTTTTTCTTGTTTCTTTTGAAATTTCTGAGCTCAAGTACATTTTACGCATCTACGCCATTAAATATTAAAGCGATAGTAATTCGCGGATGACACGAGGATGGCACGCTTTTATCGATGATTGACAGGTGGTCCCTTTGATTGAAAATGGTACAGTGTTAGCAAATAATCATATAAAATATCGGTCGAGGTAGAAGTAAATTTAGGACCGCGAGCTCTCTCGCTCTGTCTACTGTTAATCTGGGACTAATTTAGATCGTCGCGTTAGCCACACGCCGGCGCTGAAACATTAATGCGTTCGCGGAGTAATGTAACAGCCTTACGAGATTCCGCATGCTCGATCGCGTGTGACATAATTGGCGATTTATTGAGTTAGTAATTGAACGTCGTGAATTCGAAACTCTACGGCCGCCGGATTCTTTTGTGTCGCCGGCTGAAGCTCGCTGACGTTTCCTGGGAGAATAAAAATCGATCGGCGGACGATCGTCGGTCTGGAACGTTTGATCGTGATTCACGATCGAGAATCGACGCGACAGGACCGGTTTCGGAATTCGCTCGGCAGAGTCTCGCGAAAACAATCGAATGGTACGCAGGACAGATACTAATTGCGGATAAGTGCCGCTATCCTGCGGTTAACTGCGTTTAGATTAAATAATTATTTGCTTCTCGTAATTATGTAGACGTGTTGAAATATAACTTTGCTCGATGTCTAAAAGTCGAAGTCAACGACGTAGATTTAATTAGCTTATTACAATGAGTCAATTATTATTGACCTATTTGTAGAACTTAATAGCTGAGGCTCAAGTTAAGAAATGATTTTATCTCTGTCTGCCGAAAACCCAAAAGCGATTATTGAGTCTATAATTTAAATCTTTATTTAAATACTCTCATTAAGATAATGAGAGTATAAGACATAAATTTGAAATAGAGACGGTCTGTTATACCTTTTAAATCCAATTTGACATTTTTATTAAAACGATGACATTTTTGACTATCCTAGATTTATTTGGGGGCGTTGAAAGATACAAATAAGTGGTTTCCACCTCAGATTTCGCCAGGCTGTCCTGCGAGGCAGTTGACCCACATTCTACCTTCCCTCCGACGTCGGTGCGCCAAGCGTAGCTTCGTAATCTCGAGAAGTAACCGGCGAACTGGTTACAGAACGCGCTATTCTTAGTGCCAATACACCCACCCTGTCGTTGACCCTACCATATTTTGATGCTTGGCAATTGCTACACGTGACGTAGAGCACTGACCACGTTATATATGATTTATCATGCCTAGAATTTACGCCGCGCCATTTATATATAACGTATAAGGAGAATTCTACGTGTTTTGAGACATAAATCGCTTTGATTTATTAAGAAATTGAAATCTAACGTTGTCGTCTACATCTGACAATCAAATCGAATAGTATAATCTTGTTATTAAATGAATTAGATCCCTAGAAAATATCTCTATTGCTATAATGTTATTTTACTTTAGATTTTTTGTAACTTAACGAATAATAGATGTTGAAGATGATCGTAAAATGAGTTTACGTTGGTTTATGTCTTGAATTTCACTATACGACAGATCTTAACGATCTTAACAGGACTTTCTAAGTGACCTGATTAGTTAAGCTCGAGCTCAATGCAAGGCTGTTTAAACACCGTCTGGGAAAATATCCCTAACGAATTCGATTACCGTCGTAAATTCGCGCTCTCTAAGTCTCTAACCGAGAGAACTTCGGAGCTTCGCGCCGCGGCTCCGGTTCATAAATCCGCGTGGAAACGTTGCGTAGCGGAGTCTCCGGCGGGACGGTAACGTGCGCGCGAACCAATTAAAGCCGGCTGCGTTTAGAGCACATCGCCGGCTCATAAAGTTCCCCGGCGAGCCAGCTGAGGAGAGGGGGGGAGGTTGTTAAAAATATTATTTCGCGCCATGCTCTCGCGCTCGATGTAATCTTTCGCGCCGCTCGTAAACACGCGCGCGAATCGAACGCGCTAATGTAAATTAGCGGAATAAATTCGCGGCGCGTGAATTAGACGCGGGGTTTACACACACATACGCTTCCTAATGCCGCTGTATCTCAAACCGGCGCAGCCGGCGATCGGCGACGCGATACCGGCGGCGGCCCGATCGCGATTCGCGAGCTCGCGCAAATATGTTGTATAACGCGACGGCTGTAGGTATGCGTTCGCGTGAAAAGAAAAGCGAGATTGCCGGGCGCGAGCATGATCGGCAGGAAATCACGCGATCGCGGGCGCGCCGACCGCCCGATTTCACGTTATATTATCCGGCAAATGGAGCGCGAACGGTAAATCAATCGGTAATGCGGGATCGGCATAAAAGGAGCGATCGAAATAAGTGCTGGTAATACAATTCTTCCTTTCTAGTGCGTTCGCGCATGATCGAGAAGATAAAACGCGCGCACAGTTGTACTCGTGATGGCTCGTGGCTATATTCCGAGCGAAAAAAAATACTCTGCGTTCGCAACATACGCGTTTTATTGAGGCCTTGAATAATTTCTTAGAGACGTAATCATTTTTTCATATATGAAGTTTTCTCGAATATTCATGCATATTCGATACATAACTCAGAATTATTTCAAAATGCACTCGATTCATCTGAATCGTTGACATTGCTAGACGATGCAATCAGCTGCGTGTTTCGTAAGAGTTTACGAAATAAGTAAATTAAATTGAATTAAACAAGCGAAATAAAGTTTACTGACGATTAATATTGTAGCTCTAAAGATCACAGATCCAAATGTCAACGGGGCAGAACAGCTGAACTAATAAAACTTAAGTGAATCGAGCCAACCGCGCATGAAATTCTCGCGAAACTGTTTTCTTGAAATCTATTTCTGTTCCCATTCTCAATTTCATCGATTTGCACGCGTTCGCACGAGGATCGTATCCGCATCACGCAGTAAGAAGCGGGATACGTAAGCTTCCTCTGGTCTTTTGTTTTCTCTCCGCCTTCGTACTCCTCTCGGCTCGCGAGGAAACATTCTCGCCCGGCTGCGCATACAAGAAGATCTCGAGTTGTACATCCAATTAGTCGATTTCCTCCTCTATACCATCGCCCGGCGCCTATACCATTACGCGTGTACCCGCGAGCGAGCACATTTCGCTTTGATCGATAATTAGACCGATCGTACCGTTCTATCCTTTCACGATCTTGTCCAATTAGGATCGTAACCGGTAGCAATATGTTGCCGATTATTGGCGCGCGGCGCGATTTCCTTGTGCACGCGCGACGACGAAAACATCTCGTCCATTTCTCGCCCTCCGCGTGTTGCGTGGAGCCTCGTCACGCGAGACTGGATTTTCCGCGCGCGATCGTCGCTCGCGATACTGTCGAAAGGCTACTTTACAACGCGCGCCTCGATTCGAATCGCTGCAATAATGGATGATCTTGCGCGAATAACTTTGACTTGCACCCCAGCATATAGATGTTGAAAGAAAGTTTCTCGCGTGTGCATGTTTATATTTAACGGTACTAGTGGTTACCTAACATAGACAAAATAATACTGATCGCGTTTTGCTTCCTTTAAACGAGCTGCCTCTTTAAGATTACTCACGCCATGAGCGCTTCTAAACTACCGCTGTATAAATAATGACATTCAACATCGAGAGCAAGGAAAGAGATTACGTAAAATCACGATTTGTTCGCCGAGAACCCGCCGCGGGTCCGTATTTCTTTTGACGTTTACACTGTCACGGTTTAAAATAGTGGTGGTAACCAGCGTCCGGATTTACAGTGCGCCGTCGAAACTTGCGAACGGAGTCGCTCTCGAAAATAGCCGCTGCTTGGTTTCGCGAGCCTTGACGACAACATCATTATTATTACTTCGACGAAGGACTCACCATAATCGGTAATTTATACGTCTAATTTTAATCGCGGTCTCTTGGAGAAAACCAAAGTCGTTCCTTCATATATCACTAAAACGTTTCCTTAAGAAAGAAAAGCGCAACTATTTTCGAAATTTTTATTTATTTCTCTTTTCTTCCAATTTCCTTACTTCAACTTTGGGATTATTATGTCCTATCTCGGCAAAGAATTATGTTAGCTCTGTATCCATTTTTCGTACCAAATATAAATTTGTTAAATTCGGTAACACGGGGAAGAGTTAAATAATTCAGATCAGGATGAGAAGGTCGTTCCTTGTAATCCAAGTTGGACTATGCGTGATCTCGCCTTCGATCCTTATTTGCGATGTATCTCGCTGTTCCACCTGCGGCACGTCGAAGTGCCAAACGACCCTCTCGATCGCGTATCGCTGATTCTGCCTGCGTACGAGGAAGAGATCTCGTCCAGGTCCCCGAGAGGTCACTCACTCTGCGGCCACTCGAGCGAGTACGTTGTCTCGAAGAACTCCTCTCCGCCTTACGCTCTGCCGAGGGCCGGAGTGGCCACGGACTGTCCGGAGATACTGAGAACCGTCCCGCTGCAAGAAGCCGACGATGCCTAATACAGAAAACCGTAAGACCGTTCTGCCCTAGCCTTGCCTCTGCCGAGGTACGGTGTTTCTTGCCGCGTGCTGCTCAAGGACTAATTTCCGAAGGTCGGAAACACTTCACAGTTGCACGAATGCACTCGCGGATTGTCCGGTTATCGCGCAACAGGCGTAACGATAAGAAATGAAAAGGCACTTAAATCATGAGGTGTGATCGAATTATCGAAGTGTCTAATTCAGAATTAATTTTGATTGAAAGAAATTTGTAATTGAATTCTAGTTGATATGCGAACAAAGTTCTGTTAAGCACGGAGTAGATGTGAATTATGACGAAGATAATAGTTATTATGGAGATAATAGTTATCGAGTGGTTTAGGCGAAATTAATTTTAATATTCGAGATGCATTATCCGCCCGTTTTTCAATCGTAACGATCTGGCAAGAGTTGAGAAGTGAAGGACAACTTCCCTTTAAGGATTAAAGCTGATCGATACTGACTAACGGGTTCGCTCCGTTTGTAAAACCGACAAAGAAAAATACAGATCACTCTTAAGGCCTTACTATGACACCTGTCCGTGGCTCTTTTCTCGAGATCATCGAACGATAATTGCAATAATTGTCCTTACGTGATGTGTCGTCGTTGAAGTACTTTCGTGAAATAACAAAGTCAAATTATTTACCAAGATTATACCCCATTTATCTATTCCCCATTTAGCTATTCTAGCTTCGCACAAATAGGACAAATCATTAAAAAAAAAAAAAAAATCGCTCCAAGAACGTTTCAAACTTTAACCAGTTGTCACGAGAATGCGGGGGAATGTCGCGTACTCGCCGCATTATTTTTGTTAAAATCGTGCCTAATATTCGCCGAATATTTGGTCATTCGGCACAGATTTTGCCGAATATCCGGTAAACTGTCGAATATACTATTATTTGCAAAACACAAAAATATAGTTTTCATTTTACAATTAATACAAAATCTTTCTTATATTTGATATATGTGATTTGACACGTGTTTTTCTCATTCGAACAAATCAGATTTCCGTATTGGATCAATATATCTTCACTGTAATCCGTTTTCAACGATGATGAAGGATAATAAGGACCTGAAAAAGAAACGCAATTCACGAATCGATCATTTTGTACTCGTCTGCTTGATACCGCGTGGCTAGTTTATTCTTCAGTAAATTACCTTCCACACAAATGGTACCTTCGATATGATGAATATCACGAAGGTTGAGTTCGACCGGGATTAACCCTACAGTGAGATTACCAGGTGCAGACGTCAGTAAGATTCGTCCTTGCCGCTTCATAATACTTCGTTTCAACGTGTCCACTTCATCTCATTCAACGACATATTAGATTACTTTCCGTTAAATGACTATCCGACAGAATAACTAGATACTAATTCCTGCTACCGATACGCTGTCCGATTAACTGCTCTGAGTAATTTGAATGGATCTGATAATAATTGTTCTTTCGTACTCTTCACAAAGTAAATTATTTTCTCAATAGATACAACAAATTTACAAATAAATGCATTTCTGAGCGTTAAAATAAAAGCGCAACTTATTTGTTTCTCAAAATCACTTATATAATTACTTCTTCCTTTAATTATTTTTCTACAAACGTATTAATCTATCAAATGAATTGATTATATCTTGTATTAAAGTATTTACGTGTAATGCTTTTACGTATAAAATTTCTTACAATTTAAGTGACTTAAAAATGAATTATTGGTAATATATACAATAAAAATATTTATTTATTGCAGGGAGTAATCACGTCAGAACTCCAAATGTCCCTAGCGGCTTATTGCAAATCGACAACAAAACGCTGCAGTGGCTCGGCGCCACGGTCTCAGCTTCTAGCAAGGACGGAGGCCCGATTATGGTAAGTGCAACCTCCGATATCAAAACGCACGACTTGCATTTCAACCGTCAGACGTCAGCGCATTAACGGTGTAATAATTCTTCAGCGTGATAACGTGCGCGCGACTGCTTAAGGCGTAGCAACGGTAATTAATTATGAGCGTAGCCAATACAACGTTGAATTTCTGATTGATGAGTCGACTTGTATTCAATTGACATTCAATTGGCGTAAGCCTCAATTAGGAACATTAAAATACATGACGATTTAAAATATCTAACCCTCCAGAGACAGAAAGTTTCTGGTAAAATAACAATAATTAATGATTAAAAGAGTTACTCATTTCAAAAATATTCATTAGTGATAAAAAAATTATATTTATTTTTATTTTAAGAGATCATCATTATAGCGGATGTTAACTTTAATTGCGTACACCGTATACATTGTATTTATGATTCTTAGAAATCCCAAGGTGTTGTGCGAAAGCTGTTGGCTGAAATAAATGATATGTGCCAATTGGAAATAAGCGAGAGAAGTAGTTACTTAGAAACATTTTTTTTTAGAAGGAGATAAAATTCTTTTTAGAAAACAAATTCTTTTTTAAAACGGATATAAATAAGAATAGTTAGGAAAATAAAAGCAATGATAATTACTGAGTGATGTTTTCTTCAAATTTTCAATATCTTCGTTCGTGGGATTTACAACTAGAGGTCTCGGATAGATCTTCTGAGAGATTACAGACGTGCGTTCCCAGAAGGCCGCAGCTTCTATTTCAGGATTCGAAAACAAACGAATTCCCGGCGCGTTCCACGTTTCGTTTGTGATGTTGAGACGTCTCGCGAGCGAGTCGAATTAGCACGGAATTCAGAAGCCAGGCTGCTTACTTTTGATGAAGTAATTAAGTTACACGGTAATTAGATAGAATCCAGAAATATTAATTTTAACGATAAACAAATTTGGTTTTGTATTGAGTGTTATTGTTTAAAAACTCTTAAATATATGTATAGCTAGATGAGAGATTAGGAATAATTTATAAAATTTATTCCTCAATTTCTATTTCCCATCTATAAATCGAAGAAAAATCTAAGAGTCTCTAGATATAAGTAGATAGAATTTATTTCCCCGATTACAACGGTACGTCGAAGTAGCTATTTTTCAAGCTACTCCGGTTTCTCCTACACGAAATTATGGTCCCTCCGGTCTCGCCGTGAAGCTCTCTTCGGCGGCGTTTCTCTCGTTATCTGATCAACACTCGCCGTCTGCGATACGTGTTAAAGTCATTATCCGCCCGCTCGCAGCTTCCACGCAGATTTCCGATTCAGAGTGCGTGGCGGAGCCCCGTTACGACGATCCGGCACGTTCGCAACGTAACGCCGGGCATGCCCGCCGCCCTCGCCTTGCGGGATGCGCTTCTTGCGACGGGCATGTTGCCTGCACAAACGAAAGGTCGGACGCCAATCTAGCGCGAAGATCTCTGCCCTTCCCGAAGACCTGGGCCCCTTTTTTTCCACTTTTCCCCTCCGAACTGTGCATGCGGCGGCCCCTATGATGTACGAGCCGCCCTTATCTATCTTTATGTGTACTGCCCTACGTTGCACGCATGTGCGTATGCTCATCACGCGCGGCTGCGGTGGCCGCTGTGATGGCGGATGCGAAGATTGAACGCAGGCAAAAGATTGAAGCGGGGAGAAAGGGTGGCTCAGGAAGCGGCGCTCGCAAATCTGCAGGCGGTCGGAGTGCATCCAAGTTTTCGGAATGCGCAGCTAGCTGATGAATAATTAATTTCGTTCTGTTGCCCTTTAATTAAATGTCATATTAGTTTCTACATATTAACTTTTTTTTTATTAAACTTTTGAATCTAAAGTATTCAATCAGCATTATTTTATATTTTATAAATTATTCTTTATTTTACCCTACGCTACATTGAGATTTTTCATCTTCGGAAAAAGGGAGCAATAATCAAAATTATAAGTTTTTTTTATCGGATCGCAAAGTATCATTCGACCGCTTGTCGTTCATAACGTTGTAGTAATCCCAAGTGATTGCCCGGTTAAAAATGATACGTGGATGACTAGGTGGATTTCGAGGAAATTCGATACGGTCGGTCAGAACGAGTCGGGGGCCGCGTGACGGGCAATGGGTGCGATGAGGAAAGCCATAAATAAGGCCGCATTCGTATGTGAGAGGCGTATTAGCGGCGATTATCGTTCTCGTGCTCGCGTAATTTTCGCATAGCGAGACGTCGCCGCACGCTATCCCGTCAACGACATTCCCATCCTTCCGTGGCGCGGCCGACATTATGCCGGAATTATCTACTTATTCCAGAATGCGAGACCCGCGCGAGTTGGTAAACGCACGGCTTTTTCCGCGATTACTCTCCTCGCTTTCTCCATATCGCTTTTGTCCCTCCCTCCCCCTTCCACCCCTTCTCGTCCTGCTCCTCCGGCCTGCAATTAAAGATAAGTAATTACTGCTGACAGATAACGCGAAGAAACGAGTGCTTCGCTCTTTCGTTTTAAATACTCTCCTCTTTCATATTTTCGTAGAACTTCACGTTCTTTCATGTTCCTTTTCTCTACGTTTTTGTCCACTATTCTGTTTAATAATTAATATTAAAAATTATATAGGAATTATATAGGAGATACGTGTATAAAGAATGACGCGTTATATTGTTAAAATAGAAGGAACGATTAAAAATAATTCACTAATTTGTTGATGTTGGTGTTGAGAAAAAGCGGGCAACATGCCGATGACGTGCGATCATTGTTCCTAGAGAGAAATGCCGTGTTTCACGAAATGAAAAGAAATGAGATAAAGGTCTGGTAAAACTTGATTTACGAGTGATTAGTTTCTTTGTTTGCGTGAAAAAAGATATAGCCGGTGGAAGTTTGCAGAATGTCGTTCTCTCATAACCGGAGGTGCGCGCGTGAGACGCATGTACGAGACCGTGTGCGAGAGAGACTTTAATGCGTCTGTCTATATGGCGCTAAAACAATGTGTCGACACGGTTGCCTTATTCTGGTCACGCATGATTGACGTTCGCGGTGCCTCTCGAAAAATCATATACGCGAACGTGAGCATGTAACCTCGTTTGAACTTGAGCTCTTCCCTTCAATGAAAGTAATTGAAGACGCAATAAATTCATTAATCATTAATCAGCAAATATTAACAAAGCAAATTGATTGATATCATGAAATCAATGAAAACGAAACGTAATTTGTATCTTAACATATAATATACATATTTCAGAATTGCAGAATAAATCGAGATTTATCGAGATTATGTATTCGCATGATTATTTTCAAATCTTTATTTAGCTAAATTTTTAGATAAAAAAATAAAACGTTTCCACGTATGACAAAAATTATATTCAGACGCGGTTTTTATAAATTGAATAATTGAATATGTAATTGTGTTTTTGTTTAAATATGTTAGCATCTTTCAATATATTATGCGACGTAATTCATACGTATATTAAATCAACTGTTATCACGACGATATAAATATATTACATGTGTCTCACGTAAATACACACGCGCAACCGCGTAAATGTCTTCTCCCGCTGTCGCTCTTTTTATCGCTACCACGGACAAAGGTCGAGCCCCCGAGTATCCCGTGGGCGGTTGTCATCTTATCGAATAGAAACTCGTTAATGCTCTTTGTCGATTGCCGTTGGCGGATAATGGCTCGTTTCGATCTCTAGCGGCGAATTTCACGCGTTCACTTGTCGATCAACGCGATTGCCTTGCTATTAATTGCCCCCAAGACAAAAGATCGCACGTAGAAGCCGCCGTACGAAAGGTGAACGAGGGTCCTGTGAATGCTGGAAGGTGTTAGAAGCTTTATGCGTCGACAATGTACGCCGCCTATGGTCATGGTCATGGTCATGGCCTAGGTCTCGCAAATCTACATGGATTTCTATTTATTTTTTATTCATTGAAATTCAGTCGAATGTGAAATAAACGTGGAATTAATTTAATGAATTTAATTTTTATATTATAGATTTAATTTAGAGTATTATCACGTTCCGTTTTATTCTGACAGACATGATCTAGGGCTTTCGTAGCAAACCAACGTCTTTGGCATTACGCGACGCCGAGCGTCTCGTCGTGCGTCGTTGCGATTTAACGATCTCGTGGTTACGAGGGCGGCACCGAAAGGTCGCGCTTCCTGGTTGCCCTTTCGTTCCTCTACGTACAACGTGTTGTTGGGGTAAAATTCCGCAAGTCGCGCGGAATGTTAGGTCTTCTTCACGTCATCGCGCGAGTCGGCAAATGCGATGTTCGCGTCGGGATAGAGAAAAAGAGAGAGAGAGGGAGACCAGGACCGCTCGGCCTTTCACCGCTGGACGCATTCTCTCTTTCGCGCATCCTCTGCGCAGACACATCGTCCGCGTTCATTCTTTTTTACCGCAATCCAATTCAACGGCACTACTTAATCTGTTTTTTTTGTCGCGCCCCCTCCGGTCTCTTTCTCTCTCTTTCTCGCGCGATCTACCGACATTTCAAAGATGCGGCTCTCGCGTTGATTGTTGCCAGATGTTTTGCCTTTCGACTCTTTCTCCAGCGCATTCTCTTTCTCTCTCTCTTTCTCGCCAAATAAACCGAAGGTGCGGTTCGATACGTTGTTATTTGATGCGAGATTTGTAAACGAAGTACTTTCTATTAAATGAGTATATTCCTTATTGCTGTTATGAGTGATTTTACTAACTCAACCATATCGCGAAAGGCTAAATTCAATCGAGTAAATGTAATGATTTTCCCATTATAGGCATTATTATTTAATGCTTATAATGATTTGCTTATTTGATTATTGGAGAAAATAATCATTTTTTCCCGAAAACTAATTTCAAATCTGAAAAAATTTTATATAGGAGTAATAATTTCTAAAATCGAGTCTGCATGATTAATTTACATTCAATTTTATTTCAATTCAATCGAAATTGCCGTACCGTAAATTTCGCTGCACCGCCGCATGACGTTTGATTTTGATTAAATCTGTAAGGAGAGGATTCGGCAGATGCG